AATCCTATATACAGACACCAATTAATTGATCAGTGATATGATTTGGATGAAGTAGCACACAGAAGAATAGAAGACCTCACCAATCTGGTCAAGCGACATCCCCAGCCCGCCGTTTACCACCTCTGAAGAGATTCAAGAGATTCGCGGGTGATGTCAATTGTACAAGTTCTGCGCTCTCGCACACTATCGAGAAGAGTCAATGCTCAACTATACTTGTGTATGCATAAAGTGGTATCACGGCCACCAAGGCACCATTGTAGATGTGAATCATTGTGAACGTCGACATCAGAGTCATGATCGGTACGGTACATAATGACGCGGGTGTGATACGATTGGCCGAGAGGCAGAATCAGCAGTTGACAAGGCTTCGTAACCTTGTGATGGTGTCGGTCTTTGCGTCCCATGTCGTGGCTTGCGTTTAGTTTCCAGCGTCTTTTACATGAAGAAGAAGAATCAAGCAGCCGATTTAAATGCTAATTCTGGACGTAGGAACTCACCTCTTCTAAGCAAAAGATCCCAAGGATGATCGCGAGAAAATTCAACATTCCACCAATGAGACAAAGTAAGAAGTAAGGATATTCGATCAAGAAATCACAATTTCCGAAAAGAAAAGGAAGATTCTGAGCTGGTAAAGCCAAGAAACCTCCGACAATAGGACCAATGATGGATCCAATTGCCTTCAAGAATGAGCAGATACAAAGACAATGTAAGCAATGGATTTCAACACCCACAGTTATATGTGACATCTGAACAGTAGGGGCTTCATAAATTGGGAGAGGACTTACGAATGACAATGGAAGCAAAGCAACCGCACTACGCAAAGGATTGGATGAGTATACCGTCAGCTAAGATTTAACGAAAAATTGCGTGGCTCAAATGGACAGTTTACATACTCAGCATAATTTGTCGGATCTGTGAACTCGGCCACAATGCTCTGTGAAATGAGAAACAGGTAAGTTGACAATCACTGTCTTTCAAAAATAAAAGCCTGGCACCTGTAGAATGGCAATATTTCCTGTTGTGTGTTTGTCATGACCAATGGAATAAAAATATATTGATGAAATAAGAATCAGTGGATTGGAAACCTAGAATCCAACAAGATTAGCCCACCATTCATCATTCCAGCTATGAAGCGAGAGATAATTAATCCGAGGTATGTCTTTTGTAGGCCGAAGGCGATTACACTGATAGCCATTCCAAAAAGTCCGGTCAGCATCACCGGCTTCCTTCCGACTCGATCAGACAGTCGACCCCAAAACATAGCTGGAAAATTTTCGTTTCAAGACAGAGCTCTGGTCAGGCGACACTGTGGCAACAAAAGGTGTGAAGCAGCAATTTAACTGTACAGAGCTGAGCCACCGCAAAGAGACCTCCAGATATGCGAATAAGACGTATTTCAATAGGCATGAATCGGAAGCAAGGTCTTCAGAAGTAGATGATTCAAATTACCACTGACTTTCAATCACACCAGCATAGTATCCTACACTACACCAAATGTGATCTTTACCGGGCGGTAAAGAAAACTACTGACATGAAAAGTCCTGAGGCAACAGGAAGAGAGCTAAAAATCTGAAAAAATATGCACCTTGTTCCTAGATGTTGGGGCGTCATGATGAGTATTTTTTTGTATTTTACACACAGATATTGGTTTATGTACTAACAATAAACGCTGGAAATCATCAAAAACTCACATGTAACAATACCTGAAATTTGGGTCATGAGTATGAAGACAATATTTTGTGGTCTAAAAACTTCAATAACTTTTGCAATTCTGCTCCAAATAACTCGATTGTTGGTTCATTCAAAAGCTGAACTATTCTCCTACACACTTCATAATGTTAGTAAGGTGCTATCTAGTCATTTAAACACTCTACATATGTTCAAACAGTTCTGCATGAATAGCTCTGTAGGATCTTTTTTAGACCAGCTACAGATGTGATGTCTGAATGAAAAATGTAGAGGAAAGACTCACCTTTTTAATGCACTTCAAATCGAGTGATTTGATTCAGCACGGCAAAAGTTATGGATGTTTGAAGATTCCAAAATCCTGTCTTCAAAGTCAAGGGCCAAATTTCAGGTATTGTTACAGGTGGGTTTTTGATGATTCTCAGCCTTTGTTGTTAGTACATTAACCCATATCTGTGTGTAAAATACAA